GGCGCGAATTTGCAAGCGGATGAGCTCGCGCGAATTTGTTTTTCAAAGTGGCTCCTTCTTGTCGCGAACGTGCACGTCATGTCGTTCGGGAAACGGCCGGGAAACGGCCGCGATTCGAAAGTTGCGGCATCCTTTAGATCACAATAGGGGAATTGTCTAGATCTGAATTCAAGCGGGAGAAAGCGCAGCGCAACGCGGCGATGTATCAATGCTACATTTGTATCTTTTATCACACGCGACTTTCGAAAATAGCAAAGATAATATTTCTTTTTTTTTTTTTTTTTTTTTTTGTAATAAATAAATTTAGCTCTTTATTCTTGAATTTTTCAACATTGATAAAATATGTGTTAAATATTAATGTGAAATATGTTTTTTGATAATTTCTATATCCAACTTATCCATTTATATGTCATTTTCTGCTTTTAATAAATGTCATTTAAAAAAAATTGTAATCTCTATAAAAGTTTCTATCTTTAGAATGGTTGATTATTTCTTATTAGCATACAATGCGTTGTCGCTTTAGCTGATGACACGAGATACTCAGCAAAATATCACAAAATGATATATACTCGATACAAAATAATACAAAACGTGTGTTTAACTTTCAAAAACAATTTTGATTTAATCTATTGGCTTTCTAATCGCTTTTGCATATTGTATCGTTTTCCTTGCTACTCTCTCTAAAATTCAGCTTGAATCGTAATCAATATAAAAATATCTCAAAATAACTATAACTATAGACTCGTCATATATGCTCAATAAATCACAAAACATTGCGGGACGGATATCTATACACGTCCTACATAGTCAAGAGTTCATTTTTCATATTACTTTCATGTTTAATATGTAGATCAGATGCATATGCAGTTGTGGGAGCTTGACGAAAATGGATCACGGCAAGATGCGTTAAGAAGTCTTTTACGACGCTTGAAGCGCTCAAGGAAAATCCAGAGAGAGAGAAAGAGAGAGAGAGCGAGCGAGAGAGAGAGAGAGAGAGAGAGAGAGAGAGAGAGAGAGAGAGAGAGAGAGAGAGAGAGAGAGAGAGAGAGAGAGAGAGAGAGAGAGAGAGAGAGAG